TCTTTAAAAAAAAATACATAAAACATTATGATTAACCAGACAATATACCTTATCCAATATATTTGGGCAAATGCTTTGAGAAGAAAAAAATGTATTTTAGTTTCCTATTCATGTTTCATGTTTTTATATTAATCATTTTGGTGTTTTATATTTCTTTTTTGCAGGGAGCTAGTAAGTCGCCTCCAAGAGCGAAATGTTCAGGTTTTCCTAATATCTGGTGGCTTTAGGAGCATTGTAGAGCACGTTGCTTCAAAGCTCAATATCCCGTCAACCAATGTTTTTGCCAATAGGCTGAAATTCTACTTTAATGGTAAGACTTTAATGGTACCATTTTCCCTTTCTTGTCAGTTTTATTGTTCAATATCTTATATAATGTCTGTTGGAATGCAACTTAAGCAAGGCAGCCTCAGAGTTAAATATTGAGATGAAGGATTCTTTTTTTTAATTTAACTTATTTTATTTTAATTCAATTAATTAAAATAGTGTATTATTAGTTTCAGAGGTAGAGTTCAGTGATTCATCAATTGCATAGAACACCCAGTGCTCATCACATCATGCGCCCTCCTTAATGCCCATCACCCAGTTACCCCGTCCCCCCACCCCTCGCCTCTCCAGCAACCCTCAGTTTTGTTTCCTAGAGTTAAGAGTCTCATGGTTTGTCTCCCTCTCTGATTGTCTTATTTTATTTTTTCCTCCCTTCCCCTATGATCCTCTGTTATGTTTCTTTACTTCTACATATGAGTGAAATCCTATGATAATTGTCTTTCTCTGACTGAGTTATCTCACTTAGCATAATACCCTCTATTTTTTTTTTTTCTGAGATGAAGGATTCTCTCGACTGATGTCTTTTGCTTCTTGGTATCCTTTGTTCTGTGAAATAGACTTAGGCCATCACCTCTTCTGGCTTTAGTGTGTCCATCTAATCTCTCTCAGGATATAAATGTCTGCACTTGATTCCTGTGTACGCACGTGACTCATTTTGTTATGTGTTATATTTCAGTTTTTTTGAGAGCTCTTATGTATTTGAACCAGTTTAGGCCCAGGAGGGAGAGTTTGTTAGCAGTGAGTCACTGCTCTGTCACTGGGTTTGAAGTGCCTCCTGGCCCTTCTCTGGACCATCGCAGAGCTGCAGCTGTGGTTACTACCATCTCAGGAGGTCTCTAGTTAAGGCAACGGGTGGCTGACATCCTTTAAAACCAAATAATGTTTTTTTTTTTTTTAAGACTTTATTTATTTATTTGACATAGAGAAAGAATGAGAGAGAGAGCACAAGCAAGGGGAGCTGCAGAGGCAGAGGGAGAGGGAGAAGCAGGCTTCCCGCCAAGCAGGGGGCCCGATGTGGGACTCCATCCCCAGACCCTGGGATCATGACCTGAGCTGAAGGCAGACGCCCAACCGACTGAGCCACCCAGGCGCCCCAAAACCAAATAATGTTAATTTTAAAATGTTAAATGTGTTGGTGGGACATTTTTGAAGGGTCTACAGGCACAGATCATTAAAAAAATGTAGACAGGGAGTGTGGTAATTACTATAAGAAAGAAAATCCATCAAATATAAGTTGGAATCTTCTCTTTGATGAAATTATATATTAACTTTTTAAAAAACGTCAATATATTATTGTTTCATGGTGTTCTGCCACCTCAGCGAGGTTTGAGATTTATAACTCTGACAGCTTAGAGGATAAAACCGATTGACCCCAAGGTGTTTATGACCTAAAGGAGTAACCTCAACAAGAGGGATCTGCAGTTTAAAGGCAGAGGTTGTTTATGCGGGGAAGTAGGTGTGGAAATCCAGGCTGTGTTACTTTACTGAGGGCCATTTTTAGCTTTCTCCGTGACATTTAAGTGAGGGTATCATCTATGCACAAAGCTGGCCCTACTGGTATAATTCTGTGGATCACTGACACTGTTTTCACTGCTCTTTTAAGGTGAATATGCAGGTTTTGATGAGATGCAGCCAACAGCCGAATCTGGTGGGAAAGGAAAAGTTATTAAACTTTTAAAGGAAAAATTTCAATTTAAGAAAATAGTCATGATTGGAGATGGAGCCACAGACATGGAAGCCTGCCCTCCTGCTGTATGTATCGAGTGTGCTGGTCTTTTCTGGTTGTATTTTTGTTTTAGATGGCTGATTTAGAACTCCGTAAGATCGGTGACAGTTAAACGAGAACTTCTAGGTATCATTGTAAAAAAACCAAAACAAATAAAACAACTTCAATCTCAGCATGTCAGCCGACTTTTTGCAAACCTAAGGAAGAAAACCACTTAGAACTTTACGACCCCGTTCCTGCCACCTCTCAGCCCGGGTGTGTGCTCCAGGTTCGGCTTTACTTCCCCAAACAATACCACAAATAATAAGACAGCTCTTACAACTGTAATCAAAATCTTAATGTCTTTACATATATAAGATTTCATTATTTGAGAGAGAGAGCATGCACGTGCATGTGAGAGAGAGGGAGCGTGCAGGAGCCGGGGGGGGGGGGGGGGGGGGGGGGGGGGGGGGGGAGAAGCAGGCTTCCCGCTGAGTAGGGAGCCTGATGTGGGGCTTGATCCCAGGACCCTGGGATCGTGACCTGAGCTGAAGGCAGACGCTTAACGACTGAGCCACCCAGGAACCCCTGTCTTTTTTATATTTGATAAAGTATTTCTTCATACATTATCTTCTCCTTGTTACTGGTTAGGGAACTGAGGCTCATGAGGTTTGATAATGTGCCTGTGTTAAAGCATTTTGTTTTTCTGAATGAATGCTGTTTTCTGAGACTAGCGGGAAACAGCCTGTATAGCAAGTGTCCTGAATATCAGATGTGTCCCTTTCATGTAGGACTTTGCCCTTATCATCTCATCCTAAAGAAAAACTGAACCAAAAATATAGTGGTGAGCTTTTTATTAGTTTCCTGAGATCTAAAAATAGTTGTCTCTGTAAATGATTAACCCAGAGTGGTTAAAGAATCTTTGGATCCTTTTAACTGACTTGAGTCAATTCAAGATAAGACATCTTTAGATGATTTACAACCCACATTGGGGTTGACTAAGTCACAAAAGCTGGGCTAGTTTTATGAGGAGTGTGTGGAAGGAAACGGTGCCTAGTTCTGTCAGGGAGCTGCTCATCCTGATGTCAAGAAATGACAAAACTATAAATTCCAGAGGACCCTAGCAGTCATCAGAAGATGACATCGCCTGACTGAACCAAGCGCAAGTGTGCGCATGCAGGTGTGTAGCCCTCAGAAGTGGTCAGAGGAATGAGTGATCTGGAGGAAGGTTAGTGGCCACTGCGTGAAGGCCTGGCAGGACTGAGGGAGGGGGCAGCAGAGCAGAGTGGGCATGTACTAGGCACGGACCTGGGCCGGTCAGGGGGCAAGACCCGGCAGGAATGGGCTTTCTCTTCAGCAACTGCTGAAGACTACGTATCAGGCACTTGGGTGTTACCATTAGGTCGTGGGGAACCCTGGAAGTCTTCTGGACAGAGAAGGAATGCATCAGTGTGTTAGGACAGCTGAGTTGGTGGTGCATGCAGTAAGGGCTGCCACAGAGGCAGGAAGCTCAGTTAGGAGGCTAAATTTAAATGGAAGGTCAGAATCTCGTTATTTTTGCCCCCTCGTGTGGTCTGAAAACAAAAATGAAGAGAAAAGGCAAGTAAAAGAATTTTGAATGTCCAAATTAGGTATAATGTGCCTCTATCCTGGCAGAAAAAGAGAAAATACCATTTAAAAGATCAAAAAGAGAAAATACCATTTAAAAGAAGGCATCACTCGGTAGAAATTAAGGAAACAACATAGACGTAACATTTAAATAATTGTAATGATGGAGAGTGGAGTGCTGCCGGCAGATTGTGGGGCTGTCATCTCCTTTGGCCCAGAACAACACCGTCCCTGGGAGGGAGGTCCGTCAGGTTCACACAGAGCACCTGTCAGGAGATACCTGCTCTGGTCCTGGTTCTAGGCCCAGTGGGACTTCAGCTGTACTCCAGGCTTCTCTTTCATCTTCCCTCTTTGAGATTGCCTGGCCTGGCTGTGCCTGCATCCAGTTGAGAACTAAAGACATTTACCACCTGATGGGATTTTATCTTTGTAAGCAATTTTACTGGTTTTAAAGGGGCTTGATTTCTCCTTGAAGCCTGCAATGACCCCAGCCTGAATGGATTTGCAGCAGTGGTGCCCTGACTCCTTCATTCTTGGGACAGGGGAGGCAAGGAGGCAAGGAGGCCCAGGGAGCTGGGGAGGCACCCCCTCGAGGCTGGGCTTTACCTGTCTTTACACAAACAGTTTATTCTTTCAAATAACACTTACTGCCCCAGGGTGCTGCTGTATCTTTTTTTTTTTTTTTTTACTCTTTCCTTTTTTTTTTTTTCCCTCTTAGGATGTTTTCATTGGATTTGGAGGAAATGTGATCAGACAGCAAGTAAAAGACAATGCACAATGGTACATCACTGATTTTGTAGAGCTTTTGGGAGAACTGGAAGAATAATACCAATTTTTATACGGTTCATAACAACTTCAGGTTAATTTTTTAAAGTTACAGTTTGATACCGTTTGCTTACAATTGCCTATTATAACTTAATGTATAGATGTGGTACGGATTATCTGTACTTCCAAGTAAACTATGGAAAATTGCTCTTTTTTAACTGCAATCCCAGCATTATTATGACCATTAATTAGCTGGAGAGTTTTATAATCTGAATTCTTTATGTATTTTCCTAGCGATATTTTATTTGAAACCTTTTAAAGGTGGATAGTAAATGAAACACCTTCCCTATTGGAGATAAGGGTTAGGCAGCTTTAAGTGAATGTTGGTTTTCCCTTTGGTAGGTAAATAAAAGTTTATCCATACATCAGTACAGATTGGTGGCATTGTCACTTTCTGCCTATCATGTATTTCAATATCAAATATTTCAAGTACTTTCAGTGTTTGAGTAGAAACAACCTCCAGGCAAGGAACCAAGGAGTTGGAGACCCCACCCTGATCACAGGACATCGTGCTGGTCACAGGGCAGCCCCCACCAACCCTCACACTGGGCCAGAGGGCTGGAGGTGCTTTCTTAGCTCTTGGAATTTGTCATATTGGGACTGTTACAAAGGCTTTTTAAAAAAAATGGAGCCTTAGACAAAAGTAGTGACCTTAAAAAATGGGCATTTGAGGGGCGCCTGGGTGGCTCAGTGGTTAAGCGTCTGCCTTCGGCTCGGGTCATGGTCCCAGGGTCCTGGGATCGAGCCCCGCATCAGGCTCCCTGCTCTACAGGAAGCCTGCTTCTCCCTCCCCCGCTCCCCCTGCTTGTGTTCCCTCTCTCGCCGTGTCTCTCTCTGTCAAATAAAATCTTTAAAAAAAAAGGCATTTGATAATCACATGAAGTAAAAGAACTAAAAACACATTTTACTCATCCCAAATGAGTTTCACCTTAAATGAATTAAGAAGTACCTCCTAATAGCCTATATGAACCATTCTTTCTTAACAGAGGACTTGGAAAGACCTGAAAGCCAGGTTTGTGTTTATTCTGTGCAGTGCCAAGAAAGAGAAATTTCAGAACATGCTTTGAAAGTATGCGGTCATATACCCTCCCTGGCAGAAAAATGAGGGAGGATAAAGCACAGGTCTAGGGAGAGGCATGCAGTCCACAATTAAGTAGAAAGGCCCGGAAGGGTTGAATATAGGAAATTACTTGAAAAACTTATAATTTAACCAAATAATCAAATTTGGTCAAATAATCAGGTTATTATGTAGCCAAATAACCAAATCAGATGAATCAGATTTCCTTCCAAATCCGAGTTGCGGGCGGAGAGCCGTCACATAGGTGTGGGCAACGTTTAAATGAGACCCCACACGACGAGGCGGTGAGGATGCTGGCCGGCAGCTCGCCCGCCAGCCGTTCCGGGGCTTGGGCACTTTGAGCCGAGCCGAGCTCTGGGCAGGCCCGGGCGGGCCGGCTCCGCGGAGGGCTGCGTACTGCAGTCCCCCGGGGACCCAGCGCGCGGGAGCGGGAGCCGCGGGCGGTGGGCGGAGGACCCAGGAGCTTTTGGCCCCTAACGCTTCCAAGGCCGGCCTTCCCCAGCGCAGCGGCCTGAACAGGCGGTGCGTACTGGATTTGGCTCAGAGGCGTCTGATCGGCTGGGAAACCGTGTACGCACGTGGAACCTTTTAAGCCGGTTACACAAGCGCTCTTGGCCACGGGCTAGCAGTGCACACAGCCGCCTTTTTGTCGTGTTGGGGTGAGTCCGGAAGGACGCCAGCACTGCGCGAGCCTCTTCCACGCTTTTCGAATTCTGGGCTCACAGCAAACAGCCACAGAATGGCCCTCGGGGAGTTCCGTGCGTGATTGTAGTAGGACAGGAGGCAGAAAGTGTGGGCAGTGTGATGTGGCTTCCTGTCCTTGTGACGCCATTTTTCATTCTGATGACGCACCCTGCTTATGTAAACAGAAAAAGGTAAGACTTGGGGTCGTAAAGTTAAGAATTGAGGTTTTTCGTGGTATTAAATTGAAACGGTAGAAGTCCCTCAAAGCTTTTATCTGCTTAAAAAAAAGAGACAACCCCATGGCATTTTATCTCCTACGCCAGCCCCCTTCTGTGGTTTGCTGTTACGATTCTTCTCTCTCTTCTCCTGGAGACAAGTGTTTCTCCATGACTCCTAGGGCGGCCCGCTGGGCTGTCACTCCCAAGAGCTGGGCAGAGCGTTCCAGACCTGGGGCAGGAGCCTAGGAGGATTCTAGAGGATTCCATTAAAGTGGTCGGCCTCAGGAAATGTTGGCACAAGCATAATGGCTTTGGCCTCTGTGACCCTCAGGATTGTTATGATCAGGTTCAGAAAACCTGGGCAGTGATCTGACCACATGTCACACTGCTTACTTTCACATTTCCAAGGTGTTTTTACATGTCCTCATGTGATTCTCACAACCCTGAGGTCAGCAGCATAGATATCGCTGTCTTTTTAACAGACGGCAGCAAGCTCACAAAAGTTAATGACTTTCAGAGCTGGAGCTCGGGCCAATGATTTCCACAGCGTTCTTTATCGTGTGCGTTGCTGGAGAGTTAATTTACTGGGGCCAGGAGGATCTACCGTAAGCTAACACTTAACACTGTGATCACAGGTGTTAATGTATATTAATGCAGTAGATGAGATTTTATTCCCTAGGTTGGAAGACCTGTTTTACAAAATATTCAAGTGGTTTCATTTTTAATGGTCATTGAACTCTGCAAAAAGTCCTAGTTTTAGCACTAGTTAATAGAGGACCATTCAGTACTTTGCTGATCAGTTTCCACCTCTGAACATATTTTGATGTATGTTTATTATTTTCCTTTTGAATTGTTTTTACTGAGTTTACCTAGGCATGTATCTTAATTTCCAAGGATCGCTAGAACTTGCATCAAAAATAGTATGAATAAAGACACTGCCCTGCTTTCTGAGAGCCTCATGTCAGTTGGAGCTGACAGTCTCCATACTTTCTCTTTTAAGATTTTATTTATTTATTTGAGAGAGAGAGAGAGCATATGAGAGGGGGTTGGGTCAGAGGGAGAAGCAGACTCCCCGCAGAGCAGGGAGCCAGATATGGGACTTGATCCCAGGACTCCAGGATCATGACCTGAGCCGAAGGCAGTCGCCCAACCAGCTGAGCCACCCGGGCGCCCTCCATACTTTCTCTTTTCTTATCTTCCCTTTCTCCATTTACTTTCCACCTCCCTTCCTTCTGTCCATTCATCAAGCACATTATTGAACATTTACTGTGTCCCAGCCAGAAACTGAAGGTATCAATTTAATAAATACAATGCAGAACTGAAGAAAGGCTCTTTCACAGGCAGCCATGGTATGAATAAGGGGGAAAGAAATACGTTCTGTCAAATGCTGGTTTTAGGAGAGCAAAGTGTGGGTCCTAGAGGGCTTTTAAAAAGAAGTAGGGATGATACCACATAAATGATAATTAAAAATGAGTGGGCTTGTGGGCACCTGGGTGGCTCAGTTGGTTAAGCGACTGCCTTCGGCTCAGGTCATGATCCTGGAGTCCCAGGATCGAGTTCCACATCGGGCTCCCTGCTCAGCGGGGAGTCTGCTTCTCCCTCTGACCCTCTTCCCTCTCATGCTATCTCTCATTCTCTCTCTCTCAAATAAATAAATAAAATCTTTAAAAAAAAAATGAGTGGGCTTGTGTAAGTAATATTCACCAGGCTTACACCCAACGAATAGAAAATGAGTTTGGAAGTTTTGAATATTCCTAATGAAAATTCGTGGTGGGACAAAATAATACAATTCATTCTTCTATGGGCATTTAATAAAACGATTTGACAGATTGGGCAGGAATTGGTAAAATAGTGATTATTTGATAAATCAGCATAATGAGAGAATGTTCTTGTAAGTCACCAAGTGACCGCCATGTTACTCAGTTAGCGGTCAGTTTTCAGACCTCCTCTAACCCAGTCTTGCAGCAGCGTTTGACACGGGTGATCTCATCCTTGATGGACTTTGCTCACTTAGCTTTCATGACATCCCACTTCCTTCAGTTTTTTCCTCTTTCCCTGTTGGGTTTTCACTCTCTTCCTGGTTCCTCCTTACCCTGGCTGTCTTCTCTGTCTACACTCACTCCCCATAAGACTTTAAATTCTATATGCAGACAATTCACAAATGCCTATCTCCAGGTGAGACTGCTCTCCTAAACTGCAGAATTCACACGTGCCTTCCTGATATCTCCACCTGGGTATCTGCATAGACCATCTCAAACTCAATACGAGCAAAACAATTCCTGATCTTCACTTCCCCAAATCTGTTGCACCTAACCACCTATATGTAGCCTTCCATCCTTCCAGTTGTGGAGGACAAGACTTCGGTCACTTGATCTTTTTTTCTTTCATTCACACTCCACAATCATTCGTTCGGGAAATCATCTTGGCTCTGCTGTCAAGATAAAGTCAGAATTTCACCATTCTCCCTACTTCCACTGCTACCCATAGTCCAAGCCACCATTTAAAATGTTAAGTCAGATCATGCCCTTCCTCTGCTCAATACCTTCCAGTGGATCCCATCTCAAAGTAAAAGTCAAGGTCCCTCCAGGGGCTCCCAACACTCTACTGATCCAGCCCCATGACCTCCGGCTTCTCCCACCAAGTCCTCCCTCTCCTGTTTCAGCCACTGGTCTCCACCGCTCTAGCGCATGCCAGGCATGACCCTGCCTTAGGGCCTCTGCTGTAGCCATTCCCTCAGCATGGTGGGATTCCCTTACAAACGCTGGCTAACTTTGTCACCTCCTTCAAGTTTTTGCTTAGATCTCAGCTTTTCAGCGAGGCCAACTGACAATACTGCATACCGCCTCTCACAGCCCACCCTTAGATTCCTGATCTCCATTACCCTGTTCTACCTTCCCCCACTAGAGCACGTATCAACTTCTACCATATCATGTAACTTAAGAGTATTTTATATTTTAATTGCCAGTCTCTTCTCACTGGACTGTAAGCTTCACAAAGGCAGGGATCATGTTTTGTTCATGATGTTATTCCCTGTGTCTGATGCTTGGCACATAACAGAAACTCAGTATTTGTTGACTTGAAGGAAGACTAAAGCCTAGCATGAGGCAGGCTGCTTTGTGAAATCCAGTGACTTAATTAGGACAGAAATTCCTCTTCCTAGAGTAGGGTATATTCTGAAAGAGCTCCATTTTACAGTTTGTTGCTCTGTGCTTTTCTGAACAGAAAGCTCCTTTAAGAAAGCAACACAAAAAGAGAAAAGTAAAGTTTCTAAAAGAACACCTCATTCTTGCATATTCTATTTGGCATCTGGACATCATGGTGCTCACCAGATACCGAATGGCCCCTGGATAGGGAGTTGGGTGGATGATGCAATTTAGAGAGCCTCATCTAACTCATTCACCAACTGTGAGCTCAGTTGTGAGGGTTAATTTTATAGGTCAACTTGAGGGCCTAAGGGATGTCCAGGTAGCTGCTAAAACATTATCTCTGGGTGTGCCTGTGAGGGTGTTCCTGGAGGATTAGCATTTGATTCAACAGAATGAGTATACAGATCCTCCTCATCGATGTAGGGGGGCATCTGA